CCCGATGTTGTTTTCATGTCATCCGGGATTAGGCCCTGGCAAGAGGGAGGCCCACTGAGAGGAGGAATTAAAAACACTGGCTCAGCTATTCCTGGTGATGACTGAGCCTCTAATGAACTTGAAGGTTACAGAATCACAACTTTTCCCCTGTACCCACATCTTTAGAATAAAAAAATAAAGAATTGCATGCCTCAATCTCCTACATCCAGATGAAGAAAACTACGATATTATTTTTACTACAAATATGAAGAAGAAAAAAATCTTTTGCCGTGAATGCATGGAAATTTTGCATCTTTTTGAGCAAGATCTGGGTTGACTCATGACATGAATATTGTATACAATGAGAAATGTAAGCAATTGCAAATATGTAAACAAATTTCTTAATAAAGATTCATTCGGAGGATATGTATACCCTGTATACCCCCACCCCCTCCCCCTTTTTTCACTCACTGTATTGTAAACTATGTACTATTATCATTTTTATTCCTTATTCATTACTTCTTCTTTATACAATTTTTCTTTTGTTTAAACATATTTGTGACTTACACCCAGTATCAATTTGTAATTGAAAAATAAATTTTCTTCTTGGGCAAAAAGGGCTGTTAATCTTACAAAAAGGTGGGATATGGCACTCTCATGTGTCCACAAGGAGGAAACCTTAATCATGATGAGTGATTTATGGTAATAATGAAATCAAGCAGGCTTAGGACTTGTTAGAGGGAAGAAAGTTATAGAGATAGGCCATGCCTTAGAAATTATCTCAATGTGAAACTGATGCTGATAACAAGGAAATTGCATTTTTAAATCATATGAAAGTAAATAGGAGAATAGGGCTTCTAGATTACATACAAAAATCCCATTGTTTTTTTAATTTCAAACAACAACCTACATGTAAAAGACCGTGGAAACAAATGATATAGGGAGGAAGACCTACATAATAAAACATTCCATGCCATGAACTTAAACATAGTAGGAACTGATACTTCAAGAGACGTGCATAAATTTTAGGATTTTAACCACTTAACCATCCAGGTAAGAAGAGCCTAGGCCTAGAAAGCATGGCATAAATAGGGTAATTCCCTACTTAGCTCTCCTCTTACACAGGGTATCACTTACTTGGAGATGAAAGGAAATTAACTTTCATTTTCTAGGCTAAGACTTCAAGCTATCTGGCCTGTATGCAGTTATTAGATAGGAAGGATTAATGAAAAAGGCCTTGATTTTAATGACAGAATGTGAAACTGATATTTCATCTATAAATACAAGTTAACAGAAGCAAGGAGAGTTTGGAGGCAGTAAGAGTTATTAACCCTAAACTCTTGAAATACAAAATGTTTTTTATAATCCCAAGATGATTTTCTTTGTGACAAAAGGTGCCCCTTTCCCATTTTGTTAAAATTGAAATACTGTTTGATGATGCCTACAACTATATACTGTTACGGAACCTCTTATGAAATGGACAAAGAAAGTTATTTTTTTCCACATACAGAACTTGGGGAAGATCCGGCCATATCCAAATTTGGGCAGCTAAAATCCCTACATACATTTATGTTCATCACTGAAAGAGTTAAAATGCTTATCAACTCCACATAACTACATACCCGTACATGTCTCTCGAAGACATACACTGCACACTTAACAATTTAGTAGTACAGTGTGTATTTCCCTGTGGTCCTACATGTAGCATTCTAAGTAAACCAAGTCATCACCACAGTAATGTCTTCCCTTCTACGAGATTCAGAGGAAAGAGGGGGCAGGAACATCCTTGGAAAACAAGAAATGACTGGATTGGTCACAGATGGAAAGCAGCTTGAATTCCAGGCAAAAAAAAATTACACAAAAAAACAAACAAAACGTAAGAGAAATGGCCTCACCCTGAAAATAAGTGTTTAATGAGGATCAGACACTTCAAGGGAAAATGTTAATAGGAGAGGCCCCCAGAATAACATTTAAAAGGAAATTGAAGACTCAGTTCTATTGCACAAGGATTAAAAGGGTATTTAAGTGTGATAAATCTGAATTTAATGTCGATTGCAACAACAAAAAAGAGACAATTTATTGGATGATTTCAATGCAGATCAATAACATATTGTTATATAACTAATGTGCTTAGATTAGCAAGTGTGCGCTTGTAAACAAGTGACGCCTGGCTGGAATGCTCCCCATGGAGAGGAGAATGTGCATACATTGTGTGCAGGTAAGCCTGAATCCGATGACCGGGTAATAATATATCTATAAAGCGCTTTGAGAGGGCCTGCGGTCATGAGAAGCACTATTATATATAAGAACAAGCTATTATTATTATTATAACAGGGTCCAGTTTACTTTTCATAAAAGATCAAAAATCCATCTACTACAAATAAACGTCATCACTATTTTAATTCCATAACCTTTTTTTTTTTTTTTTGACAGGTATAATGAACTCAGAGTCACTTGACGTTATTTTCTGACCTCTCTCTTTCTCATCAACATGTATTCCTGTCTCATCAAGCAAGTTACAAGCTATACCTCCAAATTTTTGATGGATGGACCTCAACAGTTGGTCAAGAGTCTACAAAGATCAAGTCATCTAGCTTCATTTCAGCGTGATCTGCAATGACTGGGCATGTTTACCTCACGCAAGGGGAGTAGTCTGAAAGCACCAACCCTTGTCAGTAAATGTGTGCATTTAACAGTGTCTGAATTGTAGGACCACTGTATGTGTACACTGCAGTCTACTGTACATCATTGGCTCTGTACATACTTTAGCTCATCAGCAGAGACTGATAAAGTTAGGCTCAGCTCAAAGCTTATTAGTAAAATTGTGTTGAAGTGTTAAATTAGAGTCTGTGTCTCTAGGCTACTAGTAGCATATCAACAAAGCACTCTTACTATCAACTCAGGGTCACAGGAGGCCGCTTTATTTTTAGCTCTTTCGCAATCAATCACAACAAACAGGGCTTCTGCAACGGGTAACAGCTTCTTATTACGACAGTGGAGAAATTAAGAGGGGTTCCTGTATCTTTTCAATAAGATAGGGTCAGGCTTGCTTTTAGATCTAAGTGTTTTTGTATCACGCAATGCCGCCTTTCGCCGACACTAGTGTTCTCTTCCATACTATTACATGTTGTACCATGAGTGCTTCACATATTTTTTTAAGATATGCTTAACTACTTTTGTTTTGTAATTGATTAGTGATGCATATCATCATCTTAGCAGCAGCGAACCAATTCAATCGCCCAATTTTGACTTCCCTTACAGGGACTGCCGACGTGACTAGCTAACAACAATTATTTTCTGATATTTTAAGTTGCTATTGTTCGCAATTGCACATTATATATATATATCCCCCCAAAAGAATAAAAAACAAAAATGTAGCATTACCAACACTGTACCTCAAACAAATTTTTGAAAATAGGAAACAAATATTGAAAATTGAATTCATCTTGTAGCTTCCATAATGATGACTTTGTAAGCATTGCCGTAACTGATGACAACACATCAATTTGGACATCTTTTTTACTCTTACATAATGGTTTGAGGACTGTAGGTGTAATTTAGAATTAAGCATTCTTATTCTACTCTTCTCACAAATGAAATGATCAAAATTCCCTTCACAAATTTCAGATTTTGGAAAGATTCAGGCAGAGGTTGAACTTCTTGAGACAAGTTTTCAGAATATTTATGTAATTTGACCTAAAACCTCTAGAACAGGAGGTCAAAAGGTACATCTCATAAACATACTGGGGACAAATTTTAGAATATTCACTCAATCTTAAGAAGAACTCAGGTTCAGCTCACGAACAGCTGTCCGATCTTACTGCTGGGATTTTGTGAGTTAATGAAAAATTGTCCTGATTGAATTTCCCCTATCCAATTTCCTTCAGTTTTTATCATTCCTGCCAAGTGAGGTCAAATGTATGCAGGCTTCATTTATCTCAACTGACCTAGGCTCTGCTAGGGAGGACTTCTGCCTATGTTTGCCCCAATCAAAGCAGCAAAGGAAATACATGGGAGCAGGAGCGATTTAGCTCTTGTAAGCTCAAAAAATACTCTTGTAAACTAGAAACTGTGAGAAAATTGTGCTTATAGAACACCAAATGCCTTAAGAGACCCACAAAAAGGAAAGTATCTTTACACTGACCAGGTAAGACGATTAGTGGGTTGGGGAAAATGTCTACTAGCCCTATAAGGCCACCACATCCATGTACCCTACATATAGACTATGACAGGTTTGAGAAAGAAGTCATAATATTTAGAGATTAAGTAAAATTGTGAACAATGTAAATTCTTCCTGTTTGAGGCGTTGGAAGGTCACTAGTATAATACTTTTGAGACTGCAGGAATGTGAAGCCTTCCTATTGGAGAATGGCCAATTCTACCAAGAATCGAAATGACTGCGTAAAAGTCGCTCATCTATACACTCTTTCCTAGCCAACATAGACTTGTCTCCTAATACTCCATCAGGAGTGGAGATGGTGCACATTGTGCATGAATGAATCTCATATCATTATTATCAATTAAAGACACAAGATACCCAACAATCCAGACACTACTACTCTTCTGGCCATTCGGAACCTCAACTAGGAAGACTTACACATTTTCTAAAATTTCCTTTAAAGGCACACTGTCCCACTTGTAGCTACTTGCTCCCTCTATATAGAAAACTTCCCCAATCGGTGCCTGTTGGTCCCCCATGATCCTCTTTTTCTTATGTTAAATGAGAGCTGAGTTAATGAGATAGCCACCTGTCACAGTGACCTCGCTAGCTCGCTGGGTGGTCTAATCCCTTCTAGCTGAAGTAGTAAAGTCTGCCTTTAAAGCCTGTCTGTACTAGTTTGGCCAGGGGGGATTAGACCACCCTGCAAAGTCACTGACATGTGGTAATCTCATCAAATCAGCTCTCAATTAACATAAGAAAAAGAGGATCATGAGGGACCAATGGTCACCGTTTAGGCATTGTTTGCTTTATAGAGGGCTCAAGTAGCTACAACTAGTACGGTGGGGCTTTAAAAACCTACCTGTCTTTCTCGGCTAGGACTCCTCTATTGTCCATGTGTTGCTTCTGAGATGCCATCTTCTTGCTGTGTAGGTCACCCTCCAGGTTGTCCTTGGTAGAGGAAGCATTGTTGAGCTGCTGCTGTAGACCCTGGTTTGTCCGCTCCAGCTCATCAAGATCCTACAACGTATTCAGTCACATATAATGATAATCACATTAACATTGAATAATGATGATAGTGAGCATCCATGCAGTGCCAAGATTGTCTTAAGCCTAACTGCCAAGCCTAGCATCCAGCATGCCAATATGTTGATTTTCGTCTACAAGTTTCTATTACATTGTCATTTTTTAACAAAATAAACTGGTCTTGGTAAATACAGTATTATGTTGAAATCATGGTCAGTATTCCATAGAAGCGTTAACTGACAATAATTCTCATCTCAATGAAGAACAGTGAAACCTCATTAGCAAGAATTCCATTTAGGAGTTTTCTATAATGATGCTCCAATGTACTATCAAAAACTGTAGTAAATGCAATGTTGTGATTTCTTCTTGTGAAAATAAGACCAATCAATTAACAAAGCTCCATCCTTATTAGGCCTGTTTTCATCAGCTCAAGTTTGCCAAATAACCTGCTATTTTCAGACTCTGGATATTATTCCAAAGCTATAAATTACGTTATCACTAGACCGATACGCTCATCACAAACTAGCTCAGACGGGCGCAGCTTAGCCCCTTATTTCCCAAATAGCGGGATATTTTGGAAACAAGACCGAGAATTCTCTGGATATTTTCTCGACCAAATATCCGGCTAATTGCAACTGCGGGCTGATGAAAACGCAAATTAACTGGTTAATTTGCAATCGGGATAGTTAAAATAGCGGGTAATTTGGCAAACTCGAGCTGATGAAGACAGGCCTTCTAATGACCCACCTGTTGGATCCTGCGACATTTGCCTTCGAGCTGCTCCTTGAGTTGACTGAGCGCATCTTCCTTCTCTTCCTCCATCTTCTCTGCTATCACATCCTTCTCATGGGCCAGGCTCTCCACAGCATTACTACAGGAAAATAACAATATAAAAAATAATATGACATAGTAAAGTATCTCTCATCATTAAAGGTAAAGACCAGTTATGGTCACGCGATTGCATTGTGAAAGAAACGTTGTGGAATCCATCAGAAAAGGTTGATCATCTAGCATCTAGCATCTGCAAGGTTCTGGAATCATCAAAATGATAAGAAATTTGGCCCATTCTTCGTAAAGTTACAAGCACTATACACAGAAAGATGTATATGGGACTACCCTATATGATATCTCTCACAGACCATGAGAGAAACAAATTTACCAAATATATGAATTAGTAGGCGGTTTCCCGGCAAATTTTTTATCATCATGTATTAATCAAACATATTCTTTCACAAGATTGGTAATGAGAGCTTCCATTTCATTTTTTGAAATTGGGGCGGTCCAATACTGGTCTTTACCTTTAACTTTCTATCAGTGCATAAATCATATACAGTCAAACCGGTCTATAAAGACCACCCAAGGGAAACAGAAAAAGTTGACAGGTGGCCTTTCTAGACAGGTTCTACAATACACATGTCTCTCTCAATATAGACAGGTGGTCTTTATAGAGAAGTAATCGTTATTTACAGGTTTGACTTTAGCCTGACTTAAATCTTGCTGCCCTGATATGGCACTGGGCATTCAAAAAAAATTGTTTATACTACAAGACAGATACAGATACAGAGAAAGAAAGACAGAAAAGGACCAAGAAAAAAAAAAAAAAGGACTGAAAACTGAAGCAAAGAGAAGCTTGGAAACAAAAAGAAAATCATGACCATAGGATATCTAGAGATAAAGACTTTGAGGTAAAGGAGAATAATGTGGATATATATTGAAACAAGAGAAAGAAATAGAGACGGGGAATTACAACATCAAATACACATGTAAATGTATGCCCAACATATAGTATACATTTGTACCAGCAGACTTATTTTTCCTGGCTAAAACCCTTTGTACTGCTAAAGAAATAGGTATATTTTAAGAAGAATCTTTCTAACAACCTTTCAAACTGTAACTAGGGCTGGGCGGTCATTGCATGAAAGTAAAACCAAGTATAAATAGTGGATCGAGACATCCCTTCAAGGTACTAAGAAAAGTAATCAAATGTGTTTATTACTGCATGAAAGTAAACCAAATATAAATAAAGGGATCAAGACATTCTTTCAAGGTACTAAGAAAATTGATCAAATGAGTTTATTATTGCATAAAAGTAAACAAAATATAAATAAAGGGATCAAGACATTCTTTCAAGGTACTAAGAAAATGAATCAAATGTGTTTATTATTGCATAAAAGTAAACCAAATATAAATAAAGGGATCGGAGACATCCCGTCAAGGTACTAAGAAAATGAATCAAATGTGTTTATTATTGCATAAAAGTAAACCAAATATAAATAAAGGGATCAAGACATTCTTTCAAGGTACTAAGAAAATGAATCAAATGTGTTTATTATTGCATAAAAGTAAACCAAATTAGATAAAGGGATCGAGACATCCTTTCAAGGTACTAAGAAAATGAATCAAATGTGTTTATCATCTAATGCTTTTCTTCTCTCACTTCACACCATAGGATCTGAAACCGAGAAAGGCCAACATCCTGCATGGATGGTTTTAAATAACCCGGTAACGTCTTCCTTCTCAGAAGACAGGACTTTCCTTTCGGATCCATGGAATTTAACCATGAAGAGGCACAAAAGAAAGTTTTCTGTAGTTTTCTATATACATGTGTATACTGCACATTCATAATAAGCATCAATATTGTTTATAAATGTGTGTGTGGCTAGATATTCAAACAACGATCCATATGCTTTTTTTTTTTCTTTAGGGATCACTATGGTTGTTTAAACCACTGAAAATAATTTTCAAAAACCTCAACATTCAGTAATGTATAAAAGAAAGGCTTGATGGTATATGGATTTAAATGAAGAGACACACAGGTTGTTTTCTGTAGTTTGCTGTACACCCTGCACATACATGTACACTGCATGTAGCCATACTATTTTTCATTTTGTGTGACTGACTATTCAAATGATGATCAGTATGCTTTTTGTTCCTTCAGACATCACTATGGTTGTTGAAACCACTGAATTTTGTTCTCTCTCTCTCTCAAAAACCTCAACATTCATTAAGGTATAAAAGAAAGGTTTGATGGTACACAAATTAAACCAACACTTCTTATTCAAGGATGCCATTTCAATTTCTACATGTACTTGTTGAAAACCTTGCACTTGTATACTAAACCACATGGGAGAATCTAGTAACAATTCTTGATCCACTGCTCGAAGTTCATTCCATCCCAAAACTATGTATGATAAAGCAAATATTTGGGGTTTATGGGGTGGCTGATAATATGCTCAAATCTAATATTCTTTGAACAGATTTAAAATAACATGAACTTGAGCATTCATGTATACTTCAGAAAGGTTTGTTTTGTTAATGCCAAGATAAGCTCATTACTTGGGTAATGCTCTTTGGAAGTTTAAAAAAAAGAAACACATTATCCAATGTGTTCCAATGCACATTGTACATTGCATCGAATAAGACACAAGCTCAAAACAAGTGCTTTGAATGTACTTCATACTAATTTACGTACATACAAGTATAAAGCCTCTAGAAGGTTTCTGGCAAGAAGCCATTTCTTTTCTCTTTCGACATTTCCGCTTTAAAACTTGGCTTCGTGGGAAAGGAGCTTGTTATAGTTCCTTCCCGTCTCATGTTCGTGAGGTTCTCCTTTTAATGCTCACCGCAAATACTCCCCATCATCCATCGTAAAGCATTGCTGTATAATACTTTGCAGCTGGCTAAACTGCAATACCTGTACCTAGCCGAAACTCATGCACCTGAAGTCAATTCTTGCTCATGTACACTCTCTCTATTCTTAATATTTCTACTGAATCAGTCCCCTTTGAGAAGCTCCTGTACTTTCATCCTTTATGGCATTGAAAGTTTAAAGGCACACTGTCCTACTTGTAGCTACTTGCTCCCTCTATATAGAAAATTTCCCCAATCGGTGCCTGTTGGTCCCCCATGATCCTCTTTTTCTTATGTTAAATGAGAGCTGTCACAGTGACCTCGCTTGCTCGATGGGTGGTCTAATCCCTTCTGGCTGAAGTAGTAAAGCCTGCCTTTAAAATAAGCCCCCACAGAAAATTAAACATGGATGAATGCAATGCTATATGTGTGCCTTTCTTTCTGTTTTTCCGCTCTTCTTCTAAATTTTAGAGATGATATTGATGTGATAGCTCTCTGGTACCTCTGGAAACCTGTCTATAAAGACCACCCAAGGGAGACAAGCAGGTGGTCTTTATGTACAGGTTCCTTTAGTACATGTTTCACTGAGAAACCATTTTCAAGGGTCTTTGTAGACAGGTGGTCACTGAAGCAGGTTTGACTGTATTTCAATCCCTCATTCAGAATGTATTAAAAGAGAACATGAAACCAAAAGCATTGGGGGGGGGGGGTAAATCATAATGGATTTTTTTTTTTTTTTTTTTTTTTTTGTTATCTTCCAAACAAGATACAGAGATCCAGGTGTGAATGCTACAAGATTTCCATCCATGCTATTACCCATGAAAGTCCACAGCCCTTCCACATCATGACCTATTTTCCCCTGACTTACGATGCTTTGACTAGCAGTTGCTGCTTCTCAGTCAGTTCTTTCTTCAGGCTCTCGACTTCTACTTTCAGCTCAATGTTCTGTGGAAAGAATAACAATGTACACAAAAAATTATTTAAGGATATGAATGAAATTTTGCCCAAAAAACAAACAAAACAAATATCTTCAAGAGAAGCACATTTCTTCTAGAAATTATAACATTTATGCCAGAAAAGTTTTATTCAAATGAATGGATGACAAATCCCTTTAACTAAAATTTCATAACATGAAAAACCTACTTTTTTTTCTTAGTACATTCATGTTTTTTTTTAATCTTTGTACTTTTCTGTTATTTTGCCAATTCTATTCATCAGATAGAAATTCACAGTTCTATCTTTTCATTTATCTTTGATATCTTGCAGACCCTAACTATATCAAATGATTTTGCACCAAGTCAGAGAGAAAGAGAGAGAGAGACAGACTCTAGAGACACACAGAGAGAAAGGGAGAGAGAATATTTTCATGATTTCCTTCCTTATATTGTTCTTATCTGGTCATCAATCTGTAAAATGTCACTAGAACAAACCAAGAGACCACAGGATTCTATGCCACCGAGAAAAACATTTTCAAACAATCCTCTAAATGTTGCGGTAAGTTCACACAAATGGCACATGGAAATGACATCATAGACACAGCTGTAAGCACAGGAAGTATAAAAGGATGGAAAGACAGAATATGGGATGGCCTAAATAATCAAAAACAAGTCTTGAATTTTTTTTAAAGATGTGCATGATGAATGAAATTTCATTTTTACAAAAACAGGTTTAGACCATGCCCTATCAAACTCTGTATGCTTTGTGCATAATATCATTCTTTATGAATATCTGTAATATGAAAACTTAGAGCAGTACAATAAAATTCATACAATAATAAAAGAACAGTTTATTTTTAAAAAGGACATCTAAAAAGTGGTTGAAGGTGCTCCTGAAAGAGAGCATGTAATAACAACAGCCCCCAGGAAATATAAGAACACTAATTTGTTCTCATTGGTGTGTATACATATGCAATGTGTGAAGTACTAAATGCCATAATCTACATGTATATAAATTGCAGTATCGGTATCAATTATCATTCATACTTGCATATCTTTAGATAGAGACAGCAAGAGAGTCCAAGAGAAAGACAAGACAGCAGCCAATGTCTTTATGAAGGACTCCACAATGCTTATCCCATCTAAGACAACATCCAGGTCTCAATTTATTTTGATAAGTGCTCTTGAAAGTGAAATAAGATAGATTTTAAGCCACTTCAACTTACATTGTAATTTCCTCATAAAAACAATCGATGTTCTTCCCCGTTTAATGACCTACTACAATGTGCCCGACTGGGAAATGACATACATGAAGCTTTGGTCCTACATGTACATTTGCTCTGTCAACACTTGCTACAAGCTGTATGTTATCAAAGTCATAGGGTGAATAATGAATTTGAGTTACGATTGGATTTAAGGTTAGGGGTACATCCCAAATTCTTGATACAGTTTTAGATCCAGGGCTGAAGTTAGAATTCAGTAATAACAATAATAACAATCTACAATGTAATAGCGCTTAAAACGAAAGACCGTCGCTAAGCGATTTACAGATATACATATAATTACCCTGGTCATCAGTTTCTTTCATGCACAATGTGTGCCATTTCCACTCCCTGGGGAGTGTTCCTACCTCATGGTCCCCATGAGGTTACAGTACACTACGTACGTCACACTATCAGGTCTCCATTTTCTCCAGGGTATGGGAGCACAAATGTAGACTAATGCCTTGCCTAAGGAAATTATTGCTGTGTCAGGGATCAAACCCACGACCTTTGCATTTGAAGTCCAGCACTTGTACCACTTGACTACGACACCTCTACCAGTATACATGTAGGTACTTGCTGTATCTTCAAGCTGTAAACTTGGTCTGAATTCTAAAGAATGTAGACAATAGTCAAACCATATTTGGAAACTTTTCCTTGACATTGAGACTACACTTCCCATCTAACATTTCCTATAAAAATCAGTTTTCAATCCATTGTTGTTTAGCATTGTTCACACTGATTGATATACGATTTGTTCTCCGTTTTTTAAACTGAACAACACCTGAACCTTTTAAAACTTTACAGCTGAAAGCAGATCTTTTCTTTGTCCAAAGGCACTAGATATAGATGTAATACCAGAATGTAAACTGCCTATCGTAGTAAAAGTGTCCCCTCCCCATCAATTTGAAAGATGACTTTCTACAAAAACAATTAACAACTACACTGTATGACTAACTTTTCACAGCTTGCCAGTGATGTAAAGAGGTCATGGGAACAAGGCACGTTTGTTGTGACATGTTTGTGAAATGAAATCTACTTGTTTACGCACAAATCTGCTGATTTGTGATGTAAGAAAATGCCACTGTTCCCCTTCTGTATAATCCAGAAGGAAAAGTCGTCATATTGCATTTCATCGACAGTTGGCACAAGATTTTGAGTTCTAACTCAATAACAAGCTACAATGTAACATACTGTACAGTATGTGTTCACACATTTTAAATAGAGAGTTGACTTCTGGTCACGTGTGTTTACAATCATTACCTCGTGTTAGAAACTGTATCAAAGCAACTAGTGCTGTAGTCAAACGTTTAACCGTCCGGTATCCGACCGCCCATGGCGGATTCCGTTTTCAATTGGACGGTTTCGTTTTCCCGTTTTTTTTTTTTTTTTTTTTAAATTTTTTAAATATTTTTTTATATATTTTTTTATTTTTATTTTTTTTAAAGTTTTGATTTATGCCCCTCCACCTGGCACTATGCCTGGCAATGTCTCCCAGCTCAGTAGTCGGTGTGATGACTTACCACTTGGAAACTAGAACAACACTCCAATTTGTCTGTTATCTTGGTTTGAAAGTAATATTTGTAATAGATCTCAATATATATTCATCCAAGTTTAACACATGGTGTACCACAAGGTTCTATCCTAGGTCCTCTACTGTTTTTAATTTACTTTAATGATCTTACACATTATTCTAAAACGACATTGTTACTATTATTTGTGACTAGTTCACAAGCACAAATCGGCGCCTTCAGTTAAATCACCTTCCTGCTTTTTCACACGGCCAATTTTTTTTTTTTTTTTTTAATTTTTTTTTTTTAATTTTTTTTTTTTTAAATAAATCGTTAAACCGAAAAACCGTCCGGTTTTTAAAGGCGGTTAAACGGAATTGGAGATATCTGTGATGTTACAGCACTAAAAGCAACTGGGAAAGGGGGATTACATAGTGCATTTGAATTGATGTCTATTTAACTGCAAAGTTTTGGAATGATCTACAGACGTGTATCATGCAAATGAAAAGAATTTGACTCAATTCTGCTAAATCATGCACTGTGCACAAAAATGAGTACATGGGACCACCCATGTATGGCATGAAAGTTGGATCTAAACTTTTCACCTCTTTATTGTCATATTTCGAAATATGATGGCATTTGAAGATTAATCTTCTTCAAGGATCATTTCTCCTATACATGTAGATGACATTCTGTAAACTGACAAACGAAAAACCGAGAAACCTCACTAATGATTTTTCATCTTTACCCAACCTTAAAGCTTCTTAGTAAATGGATCTCGCCACATTTCCTGGGGTAACCTAATTCCCGCTGGGTCATCACATGACTCATGATATCCAATTAGAACATCTTACGTGAGTGCTCCTGACACTTACTGAGTGAATTAAGTTTTCAGGTTATCAGGTGAATCAGAATTATAGCTCATAATAGTTGGCAAAAGTTAATGCTTTCTGTGGGTATCCCAGACACATTTTTTAAATTGAATTTTATATTGTAAATATTTCATTTATGTAATGTTTGTTTGTTTTAAAGTGGTGAAAATGAATATGAAATTACTGAAAAGTTAATCTGTTAGCACTTGTCAGTTTCTGGGTCCCAATGAACCATGAGTCATTGTCGTTCTATTTCATTATAAATGAATGCACATGTAGAAGAACTTCAGCATAGGCTTCCTGATAAAGAAGGCCCTAAGGCCACACCTATTTGGCAACATTCTCCATCCAACCCCCTCCCTCCCCCCCCCCCCCCCCCCCCCCCCCCCCCCCCCCCCCCAATGTGAATATCTTCAAAGTAGCTAGTGGTAACAAATACGGTACATAGATATAAAGACCTACAGTTGTACACTTTTACATGAACTGACCAGTAATGCACAGAGAGAGAAGGATGTGTAAACATCTTTTTGGCCATGCCCCTTATTAATTGATTCCCCCCTCTGCGTTTAGACATATATATCTGCCTTTCACAAAAACATGGTACGATCCCTCTTATTCATACTTTAGCTCATTTACATAACTTGTAACATGTACTTGTTAGGTGTCTATAGGACTATCAAGTTCATGATTTATAGAGATCACATGATTTCTTGTTGATAAAGTGAACGATCCCTGCAGGAAGTTTCCTTAATGCTATCCAGTATTTCCTTAAGTCTGAAGCTATGTTAACATGGGACTATAGTATTTTAAAATTTAAGTCTGCCAAACCTCAAAGTTACACAGAACCATCCACTATCAACGATGATAACAACAAGTATTCCCAGTTCTAAACAACAAGAAAACATCCAATTTAATTAAAAGCTGGCGTAACCTCAAAATTAATTGCATCCACACAGCACTTAATTTCAACAAAGGACCCCTGCCCCCTGCTTGTAGTTATCATGCTAACCTTTAGATAGCTTTAAGTAAACTTTAATTTCGTAACTATGAGTGTGTCGAGTAAGGACCCCCTTTTGCTTGTAGTTATAGCCGCGTTAACCTTAAGTTTGAGTCAATTTAACCTAAATTTTGTACAGGTTGTATGACTGTACCCACACAGTCCCTAACTACAAGATACACGTTTCTTCAAAGTCTAAAATCCCAACCTAAACTTTAAGTAGACAGACTGTTATGTGAACCTATCTTAAGATTTGATAGAGATACGTTATCTCACAGACAGGATATCTTATCTCCTGTATATGATACCACAGGGTCAGTTTTCTTGATCGGATCTTCTGATTTTTTAAATCTAAAAATTACCATGGAAATAGAGATAGGGACACATGAATCTTGTACTTAAATGTACATTTATGTTCAACATATGGACATGTGAAGTGCCACTTGAATGATAATATTATAGGTAAGGTTCTTAGATTTGATGAGTATTATTCTAAATGAAGAAAGCCAAAAATGTACAGCCAAACTGAGCTTTGATAACAAGATTTTTTCTATTTCATCACTGTTTTTTTTCGAGAGCAAATGCTTGAATTTGCTCTCAATTGCAGATAACAAATCTTTTATGTTGCCATTGATAAAACCTCCTGCTTGTTAAAAGAGCAAGAGGCCAAGGCAAACATGTGGTATACTGTATGTCTTGCGAGCACCCCTCCTAGTGAGGGCTTGTCCTCCAGACAACAGCAACATGTAAAATGTACTTTATTTCAAATATCAGTTAATGTATAGTAGATGTACAGTGGAAAATTTATTTTGCAAGGACATTGGGACCATGAAAATCACCTTTTTATAACAAATATCTTGTTATATCTGAGCTCTTCATAACAAGTTCTCCTGTATTGGACATATGAAATCACACAACTAACATGGTACTCACTTTCAAAACAAGTTTTAGAATTGGCCATATGGCCATCAACTGAAGTAGGAAAAATAAGTACATAAAACCACTAGAAGATATGCTGGCATTAGTTGTTGCAAGGTGTTTTTTTTTTAATTATTTACTATTGACTTCCGTAGTAGTAGTCACGTATCACATTCAGTCAGTAAGTGGAACATCTGCTCAGTAAATGTACATCACTCGTTGTATGACAGTTACACTGTAGAAAGTGTTTTCACAGACAATTTGTACTGGATATCAAAGTGGTCCACACACACAAATGGTGACCTATCTTTAAGGGCTGCTGGACTCGCACATAACTGGGTGGACTACTCTTTCATACTTTACAAACTATCAAAGACATTCTTGTCACAAATTTACAGGGGTCTATTTCAATCATGTGGGCCCCTTTTCTTTCCTTTTCTTTTTCTTTTTTAAGTGAAGGCAAATCAATCTTAGCTCATGCAGGGCTTGAATATTGTCAGTTTTAGGGGCAAGTCACTTCAGCTAATCAGAGGATCACAAAATCCAAGACCAATACTAGTACATTCGGGAAAAGGGTATGGATGCAGTGAGCAGTAGTTTTGTTAATCTGAGAGTGGCACTGCACCACTTAGTAGTATTACAGCAAAATGCCTAGTGGCCATTGGACAATTTGAGCTTCTTCCTGTCTATTTGTCTCTTTTTTAATATACTTTATTCATTGTTTATTTTTAATTGTTACTATAGTAGCAGAGAACAATCAAGATCTCCTAATTTTCCAAGATTGCCACTCACTATTAGGACATAGAAAACTTTTTATTAATTTTTAAAATTTCATGAATGGTGCTATCTTTTTTTTAATGACAAGGGACTCTTTAATTTTCTTGATAATTTATCCATAGCAGCTGTCTTTTATATATTTTTTATGTATTTTTCCCTGTAAAGTGGAACAAAATCTACCAAAAACTAATGATTTTTTTCTTCTTTTTCTTTCTTCCAAGGATCTCGGTACTCACTGTTGTGATGTCATCATTGTCTTCGAACTTTTGTTGCATTCTCTCCTCCATGAAGTAGATGCGCAGCTTGAGACTGAAGTTCTCCTTCTTCAGATCGGAGATTTGCTGCGGAATAAAGGATGGAGGGGTGGCAGGATGAGTGAGACAAAGGTGGTAAAGAAAGAACCCTGAAACATCGCACAAAGTGACATATCTTTTTCTTTATGGTCTATTCCATTTGGAAGATTATACAGTGCGTCCCAGAAAAAACGAAACCGAGAATTATCGATGTTTTATCATAACTTCCTTTTTTATGGGACGCACTGTATATCATACTTACAGGTACAATCAAACCTGCTTTAGTGACCATCTGTATAGAAAGACCAGCTGTCTACAAAGACCACATTTTCTGGTTTCCTTGAAAAAGGGTTTCTCATTAAAACATGTACTAAAGATACCTGTACATAAAGACCACCTGCCTGTAAAGACCACTTTTCTTTGTCTCTTTTGAGTGGTCTTTATAGACAGGTTTCACTGTATATGAGAACTACATGTATCTTTTCCCGTATCTATAGCAGGTAAATTTCTCATATATAAACAGGGCTAAAGGCCGAGGTTAGTTTGCAGACCACAAACCCTTGTCATTCTTTGTGCGTAACAGTGTCTGCACTGTGAGAATATGTAATAGAAAAATACAGGTATCCTAAACAAAAAACTTCAAGCCTAACTGCGAGTAAGTTTTTTCGAAAATGTATGCACAAACAATGTACAGTCAAACCTGTCTATAGCCACCGCCCAAGGGAAACACCAAAAGTGGTCTTTGTAGTCAGGTTCCTTTAGTACAAGTTTCAAATGAGAAGCCATTTTCAAGGGAAACAAGAAATATGGTCTTTGTAGACAGGTGGTCACTAAAGCAGGTTTGACTGTAGTAATTTACCAACTCATTTAGATGGTGAGTATCATTACACATTATGCAACAATCACATCTACATGTGGAGTTTATCATACTATTTCACAATACCAGGATGATTAAGTTACCAGCTGTGTTAATATTATCTTTACCTGCTCATACTCCTTCATGGTGTGCGCCCGTACCGGCGACATCCTGCCACTTCCGCCCACCTTCTGGATCGCTATAAAATACGTTCAAAGGAAAATTAATAGACATGTAGTTTCATAGTGGTTACCATGGAGATTAAACAAACAAGGATATATATATATAATAATAATAATAATAATATTCCGCTTTTATATAGCACTTAATACATCTACAATGTCTCTAAGTGCTTTACAAATACACTATTACCCCGGTCATATGTCGATATGCAATGTTTTTGCATCAAGTAAAATTGATCCTTTTATGGTGTTTACCATGGAAATGAAACAATTACTGATAAATTGTTTGTTTGTTTCATGTTTATGTTACTAATGTACGTACAGGTACAAGTATGTGGGCTAATTGGTCATCATATGGGCCAGGAGTAATCATACATGTATATTCAGTGTATAATTATCAGGGATAACCTTCAATTGTGGATGTAATGCTGCCGCAGAGGAAGGATGCGTTTTACACATTTAGATACTGTATATGAATAAATGTAAATGGGATATGTTTTAAACCTAAGCTCAGAAACCAAAATAATCACAGGAGATTGAACTTGTTTTTCTTTTCTCAAATCTTTCTCACCTGTAATATTTGATTTCAATTTCTACAAACTATTATTTTCCTCATCTCCTCCATCTTCAACATGAAGCCCCCACTTTTCTCTACCTCCCAATCTTCCTACTCTTTCCATTTTCTTGCCTTCTTCCTCCTTCTCCCTCTTTTATAAATTACTATTATTATCACTATTAGTGTTGTTGTTTTTATTGTTCTTGTTCTACTTATTATCATCATTGTAAATATTGTTACTATTATTATTATTAGTAGTAGTAGTAGTAGTAGTAGTAGTAGTAGTAGTAGTATCATCGTTATTGTTATTATTATTGTTATCATTATTGTTATTGTAATTATTATTATTATTATTATTACTATTATCATTATAATTGTTGTTATTTTTATCATTTTCATCATCATGATTATCATTACCATTATTACTATCGTTGTTATTATCATTATTACTATTATTATCAATATCATCATTATTATAATTATTACTAATATCATATGAAGGATGAATCAAAGCAATATTAGTTATTACCTGGTGCAGAAGTGTCAGGAAAGTGGTCACTGAAGTTAGCTGCTGTGATGTCAGCCCCTGCAGTCACATTGGGAAGCTGGGAAAAATTGATGCTGTGAAGAGAAAAAAACAAAGGAAAAGAAACATTAAAAGCATGTCATTCCAAACAAAGCAAACAAACAACAAATAAATAAATGTTTAGAACAGAGGTAATGAAATAATGATATCATATCGTCGCTGTTGTCACGAAGTGACGGTAGTGAAAAAAAATTGCATTCACTTTGCGTTACGATTTTCCTCACTACCGTCACTTCGTGACAGGGAAAAAATTAATATTTATTTTTCGGGGGCTACTTTTCAACCTTGCCTGCATGAAAATAACACTTTAAAATTAGTTATGCATTGAACTCTATGCAAATTTTTGGGGGCTCTTATCTGATTTTCGGGGGCTCTTTTGGGCATTTCGGGGGCTATTTCGCCCTGAGCCCCCGTATATTTTTTTCACTGCTTCGTGAAAACAAGGACGATATGTACTGTACAAGCTCCATGTACATAAAACTTGTACACGTGTATGTAGAATTTTAAAAAAAAGAATTTCTGATGTAAAATTTCATAACTTATGATACACTGTATATGTATCAAATTAAAAATTGAATCTAATGAAAATGAAAATCCTCATTAACCAATTTTTAAAGACATAACGGCAGTAATTCATATGAAGTTAAGATTTGGCAATATAACTTTTTTGTTGTTTATGCAAACAAATCACACCACACAGCTTGACTGCTGTATTGATACATGTACCTCACTAACATCAAAATGTTGAAGAAAAAAAGAAATCAACAGAAAAAGGACAGTATTTACCTATAGCTCATATCAATATACTGTATATTAAAACACCACACATGTTTATAAATTAAGGTGCAAGGCATATGCAGTTGCAAAAGATACAACTTGTCATATTGATATATACACGATGTACATGTACTGTTCTTGTACATTATAATATTTATAAATGCACCTATCCATCTTATTCAACATGCACATCTCATTATAAATACAACTCTAGTCTTCCACCGCAGTGACCACACACTGGAGTGTATCTCGACACTACCCCAGGCCCAGGCTTCAGGCATTACCCAGGTACATGTACACCCCGGGCATGAGAACAAAGGAAGCCTGTAATATCTCCACAAAAACAAAAAGCATGTGCACACACACACATCTAGGTCATGAACAATGGGTGCATGTTTAATCCATGCATGAACCCTCAGTGAAAGCTCAATATTTGTCTACATGAAAATTTACAATACAATACTTTACCCTAGTCAGACACTGTGACAGATCAATGCCACTCACACCATGAGTGCAACACCAGATTGCAAATCAAGTCATTCAGAGAAATCAATATTATCCTCCTAAACTATACACAGATCTCTCTCTCCCCCTCCTCTCCTCGGGTTCTATTGTGCCTACCAATCCAGCATCCCTCCTCCCCTCTCATACACAGGAGGATGACTTTTGTGTACATACAATACAGCTGTGATGAGGGGTAAATCACATCACGTATTAGCAGCTGAATGTTCATTAGAGCATGCGGAACACAGCTGTCCTACTTTCCATGCTGTCCGGTCGCTAATCAGACCACAGCCATCGCAGGCAGAAAATTTATGCCTGTTTGCAAGAAAAAGGTCAAGTTTCGCTTTCGGCAATCAAGTTCATCCCCAACTATCCATCTCTCAATCTCTCTCACCAATCGGCCAATATTAGAGAATTTACGTGATGTGATTTTCTTTCATATTCTGCGGGGTCACTTCCAAAAATATGTTGTAGTTATATTTTGTCACTTCTTGCTCCCACTTGTTACAATGACATAATAATTCTGAAGACAAATTTATCAGGGCTTTTTATCTCTCTCACTAATTGGCCAATATTTATATAGAGAATTAAGTATTAATGTAATGTGATTTACTTCATATTCTGCAGGGTCAATTTCAAAAATATATTGTAGTAATATGTTAGCACTTCTTGCTCACACTTTTTACAATAACACAATACCATATGAAAACAAAGTTATCAGTGCTTTTGTGAAAGGATGTTTGGCCATGATGGGCTATCATTGTTGCTATTTTTTCATTTCTTATGATTAACCAGTAACATAATCAATCAACAATTCAACCACACGAAAATGTATTATTGTTAAAGGTTAGAGCAAGAACACTTCCAACGTTGATGCCATAGACTTTAGGGGGATTGCAAATAATGGAATTTTACATTATTTCATTTGGGGATTTTAAAATGTAAAATAAGCTTTAAAATCCTTGAATTGGCAACACTTTGAGAGATTCAAAATTCATTGCTTTTTAAAAAAATTGCCAATTTAACCTTCTCAACAACATTCTCATCCATGTACTGTATATTGTTTCCATAGATATTTGTATCAATTACAAAGAAATATTAATATTGCTGCCAATGAAAGTGATCAATTTAGCCTAAAAAATAAATCCTGTCCTGAAAAGGATAAGACTACACAAGATTTCAACCATTGACCATGAACTTGAGACTGTTCAAAGTCCAACTGCATATCCAAGGAAACTGGTAGATCTCTGTACATTCATGTGGAAGACATTAAAACTGGCAACCGCTGTGATTTTGTTTCCCTATTGTAAAACAAACATCGGTTACTCCCAAGGTTTAAGTTTCACTCTCTAAAGCCTGGGAAAAATACTCTTCCTTGTACTTATTAAGCTGATTGTATGCTGTCTGATCTACATGTTACAATTTAGATCTGTGTGGAAAAAGATTTGATAGGTCAACAGCAGAAAATGTGAGAGAAAAAGAAAAAGGTTTTTTAATATCTTCTGCTCTTTTTCTAAAAATGAAATAATGTATCAAAATATCTACACTTGTACAATTGTACAAATGTACAATACATATGATGATGATGATGATTATGATGATAATAATCTAAATGTAATTTTCAATTGCATATATACATGATATACATTGTTCAGCTTCAGTGTCTTGAAATCATATCATTGGTACATTGTGAATTGTGCATATCAATCCTGTCAAGAATCCACTTAATGCACCTGGGTCAAAAGCGACAACAGTAGATAGAATGCCTTGTTTAACCAGGCAAAGATTCTAAGTTCAAATCCTCAGCCTTTCAACCAAAAGGAAAAGGCCAATAATTTTGATCTTCAACGTCATCTTGATCTTTCACATACATTTGCTGTATTGTGCAACATAATGGCAGGCTTAATTCATGGAAACATTTCATGCCACAGGAAGACGGGATTGCTCAAGTGGCATGAAGATGACGGAACTAGGGCAACAAGCTCAAATCTCCACTTCCCGGTATCCTGCAGATCGTACTTCCTACACACTCCAACACTAATCTATCCAATCATCCTCATTGGAAGTGATAGCTGATTTACTTCATGAAGTCTATATGAACTCATGTGTACTTAAAGGTACTGGTCACTTTATACAAAAAATCAATGCTCCTATGGCATAAATCTCCACTTCCTTATGGATCAAACTTCCTACTACAACAACTTATCTACTCAATCACTATTCAACAAAATAAAAGTGATGAATGACTGCTTTATGAAGTCTCAATTCTTCTTTATTTAAAGGGACTGATCACCTTTTTAAGTCAATGTTTCCATGGCATAAATCTCTCCTTCCTTAATAATATCTTGTTGATCAAACTTCCCACTACAACAACTAATCATTGAAAGTGATGACTGACTGCTTTATAATGAAGTCTCAAACGGTCAAACCAATCACCTTCTTTTTTTAAAATCAATGTTCCAATTGCATTAAATCTCCACTTCCTTATATCTTGTGGATAAAACTTCCTACAAAAACAACTAATCTACTCAATCACTGTTCATTGAGAGTGATGACTGACTGCTTTATGAAGACTCCAACTTTCACCTACAATGTATTTAAAGGTACCTACTGTACATTGTATATCTCAAATTTTGAAAAAAATAAATGTTCAGAGGGCATAAAGATGACAGAACTGAAGCAACCACAATAAATCATTGCTCATAAGAAATAAAAATACTGACTATTTTATGAAGTCTCCAACTTTCATATATTTAAAGGTTTATGTCAACATTCGAAAAAAATAAATGTTCCAATGACATAAAGGTGTCAGACCTATAAAGCAATGAAAAGACATCTCTGCTTCCTTGTGCCCTATGGATCAGACGTCTTACACACTCTAACAGTAAAATTAATCTCCATGTATCTTATCATTGCTCATTGGAAGTGATACACTGACTGTTATATGAAGTCTCTAACTGTCGCCTTTTTAAAGGTACACATCAACTTTTAAAAAAGAAGTGTTCCAAAGGCGAACAGGTGAGAGAACTCAGCAACCACAATATATCTAAACTCTCTTGTATCTTTTGGATCAAACACACCCTAACACTAATCGATCCAATCACTACTCATTGGAAGCGACACTTGATAGCTTTATAAAGTCTCCAAGACTCCAACATTGTACATCTAAATGTAATCATCAGCTATTGGAAATAAAATGAAAGGGTTTCATACGAAAGGCAAACAGGATAGCTAAAGTGGCATCAATATGACACAACTAGAGCAACCAGCACAAATCTCTACATGATACATCCTGGTATCCAAACGACACCATTCTTGATCTACATACAGTATGTACTCAATCACTGCTTATTTCAAGTGACAGATGAGGTTATACACGTACACACACACTTACTTATACTTCATGAGTCTCCTTCTCTTACATACAATGTATATTGAAAGGTACTCTATACACCGATACGGGCGAATTTTCATGGATGTGAGCCCTCTACGTTTATCATTACACGCTGGGGGGCTTCTATCAGCTTGCGCTTTCATCTTGCATGCAACGATCATTGCTTTCTCACAGACAAACCACTTATTATTCCTTGCCGCTTTCGGACATTTCAACTTCATTTTGTCTAAATTTATTTCATTTACGATGGATGAATGGGTAGATGATGTCCGTCATTGGCGAGTTTTGCGTGCGTTTTCGGCAATCGAAGTTTGGGAGACGCCGTTGTAACGGTGTCCCACATATTCATTATCGTGTATG